AAAAAAAAAAAAAATGAGGCTTTTTTACTAGAGAAAGAGGCTCGATGGAAAACATACATTTAAAAAACATGTGTAACTGGCAAAAGTGCAGGAACTGGAGTCATTGTAATATGATGGGAGTCCAGGACTGGGAGCTTGAGCACATTACGTAAGCCATGCCTCTTCTACGGTATGAAAATGAGAGCATGGTCTTCCACGAGTGTTGTTAACAATTAGGTGGGACACAGGTGTCCTAACATGACTGTGTGAGCTGCCACTGTGGGTGATCACTGTCACAAATGCAATAAGATAAATCAGGAGGGTCATGTACATATACATGTTTTCAATTTTCTGGAACCCCGCATGTTTATTTCTTTATCTTTCTATTATGTGATAGAAGGGTCATCAGTAACAGAAATCCACCCGATAGCTTAAGCACTAAAGGGGAATTTATGCAAAGTTCTCAAACAAGGGAATAAAGCTGGAACCAGGCCCTAGGAAGCAGGATCCCAGAGAGCTACATGCACTCTTTTCTGCTTCCCTCTGTGCATCCTCTTTACTCCCTCCCTTTGCTGCCTGGCTTTCTCTTCTCCTCCCTAATCACTTCAAATTTCTCAGTTCCAGTTGCCAAAAGAAATCACTCAGCTCCTTCAACAAAGACTTATAATAGATTGATTTTTAGTATCTGATACTCAATGTATCTGGAGTAAGAACTCCTTTTGTATTTTATGGACTAAATTCTATCCATCAGTAAAAGTACAAAATGTATACTGACTATAGCAAATGACACACTATAATAAACGGTTATTATGAAGATTATACACAGACAATTATGCTATCAAACTGCCTGGCACTATGACTGCCACATAAACCAATAGAATAAAATTGTGAGAACTAAGAAGTAAATCCATCCATCTATGGACAGCTGATTTTCAACAAAAAGTCATAGTCCATTCAATGGGAACAAAACTGTCTCATCAATACATGGTATTGGCAAAAGTGGTCACCCATTTACAGAAAAATGAAACAGGATTCATACCTCACATCATACACAGCTGCAAATGTGCAAACAACACAAGACATATCAGATCATTGGGACTTAATAAAATTATCATTACTATCACATGCAAATAAAATTTTGCCAAAGATAATTCATAAACAGCTGCATCTGTACATTGCCAGGGAACTGCCAGAGGTTCAAACCAGATTCATAAGAGGACGTGGAACAAAGGATATCACTACTGATGTCACATGAATCTTGACTGGAAGCAGAGAATACCAGAAAACTGTTTACCTGTGCTTTATTGACTATGCAAAGGTTTTCAAATGTGTGGACCATGACAAGCTATGGACAACACTGAAGAGAATGAGTACTCCACAACACTTAATTGTGCTCACAAGGAACCTGTGCATAGACCAAGAGGCAGTTGTTTGAACAGAACAAGGGAATACTGAATGGTTTAAAATTAGGAAAGGTGTGCACCAAGGTTGTATTCTTTCACAATACTTATTCAATCTGTATGTTGAGTAAATAATTAAAAAGTTGATTTTATGAAGAAAAACATGGCATCAGGGTTGGAGGAAGACTCATTAACAATCTGCCAAATGCAGATGATACAACCTTGCTTGCTGAAAGCCAAGAGGGCTTAAAATACTTAACTGATGAAGATCAAAGATCACAGCCTTCAGTTGGGTTACATCTCAACGTAAAGGAAACAAAAATCCTCACCACTGGACCAATAAACAACATCCATATAAATGGAGAAAAGACTGAAGTTGTCAAAAACTTCATTTTGTTTGGATCAACCATCAACACTCAGGGAAGCAGCACTCAAGAAATCAAACAATGTATTGCATTAAGCAAATTTGCTACACAAGACCTCTATATAGTGTAGACGAGCAAAGATGTCAGTTTGAGTACTAAGGTGTGTGCCTGATCCAAGCCATGGTATTTTCAATAACCTCATATGCATGTAAAAGTTGGACAATGCATAAAGAAGATCACAGAAGAATTAATGGGTTTGAGTTACAGTGTTGGAGGAGAATACTGAAAGTGCCATGGGCTAAAAAAGAACAAATAAATCAGTGTTGGAAGAAGCACAGCGAGAATGTTCCTCAGAAGCCAGGATGGTCAAACTCCATCTCTCATACTTCGGACATATTATAAGGAGGGACCAGCCCCAGGAGAAGGACATTATGCTTGCTAAAGTGTAGGGTCAGCGAAAAAGAAGACGCCCCCCTAATGAGAAGGACTAGCACAGTGGCAGCAGCAGTGGACTCAAACGAAGCAACAATTGTGAGGCTGGTACAGGACCAGGTAGTGCTTCATTCTGCTGTGCTTAAGATTAAGGTCACTATGAGTCAGTACCTACTGGGCAGCACCTAACAACAACAAACAAAAGTAGGTAAGTATGCTCATCAAACGACTCTATCAAAAAAGAACTCACAGTTTTGAAAGAAAGACCGATAGGAAAGATAAAAAAAACAACAGCAGTCCGTCTGACTACTACAAGAACAAG